ATATATAAAGTGTTTTTCCCACGGCACACCTTACACTATGTCACGGCACACTAGTGTGCCGCGGCACAGTGGTTGAAAAACACTGATTTAGGTGGTTTAGGGGAAATTTTGGGAGGGTGGGGGGTATTTGGGGATTGTTATGTGTGTTGGGCCTGGTTTTCTGATTGTTATGTGAATTTCGTTGTATGTGTAAACTGTGTGTATATGTACAATGACAGTAAAGTAAAATAAAGGTTTACCATTGCATTCTCCCGTGCAATATGAAATGATGCCTTTGCCATTGCCATTAAAGCTATCAACCACTTTCAGCATCTTTTGATATCACAAAAGTCTAGTTGCACTTTTACATCTTGAATGGCCCTGCTGGGACTATGTGGCATATACTCCTGGCATTCTTCGCTCATTTCTCCTAAAAACATCATCCCTATCCTCCACCATGAGAAGGCATCATAGCATGACTTGGGTAAAGGGATTTGCTGTTTAGTGTAATCCGAGTAAGGGTAGAATGCCCAATTTTTCACAAGCAGTCCTGACTTGTAGGATGAAAAGGGAAATCTTCAAAATCGGAGAGTACTAATAGTGACCTTTAAGTTATCGTATGTTTTTTTTCCCTTTTCTGTCCTTTAAAAACTTAAAACACAATGTGTATGCCAGTAACCTTCACAATATTTTTCTTCAAGCACTAGTTATTACAATTTGAGGTCAGAGAAAAAAGAATCATAAAAATGAATGTGATTCTTCTGTTCTTCTAACCTGATGCCTTTCATCATATTATTTCAGGGGTGGGTTGCTGCCAGCATTATTGCAGGTTCAGTGCGCACAAAAATTAATTAGCTTGTTAAATTAGTGTCAGTCTATATATCCCACACCCACATATAATGCTTTATGTAGATTTTTTGAAACGAGGCTTTTTTCCCTCTTGTATCACACTTTCTGAAAGCCGACTCCACATCAAAGGTTCTCTCATTGAGATCCAGAATTGTGATAAAACCCGGCTATGGCCTATCAGGATTGTTGGGCAAGAGAACGGTAGCAAATGCAAGCCAGTCAGAGCAATTCTTTTCTTTATTTAATAGCAATTTTCAAATTGTCTCCTAGAACTTAAAACGATGCGGTAGAATCAGTTATTTGTCAGTTACTTTAAGAAAAGCAAAAGTTGGAGATAGCGGCTGCCCCGCCATCCCCCTGGACTTTTCGGTAAAGATGAGGAGAGAAACACGAAGGGCTTTTCTTAATAGGATACGACCCCAAGCACACTTTTTGCTAAATAGGACTAGAAATGCCTTTAATGCCCCTCATCCTACTTCATTGGGTAACCGCGTCAGATAAAGCTTCTCTGAGCAACATAAAGTGCGAGAGAATTAGCCTGCAAGCGTAACATGTAAAACAGAATCCTTAATTTCCCTATTCCGGATCAGTTCCACGGAGATCAATAATTCTTATCCAGAATAACACCAGATCGAATGTTCGCCTCACAGAACTTCTTCCCTCCGTGAAGCAAGGAGACGATCATTGCGCATGCCTCGGAAATTGTAATATTCCGCTAGGTGGCGCAAGAGAAAACCCCAATTTTACGTAAAGCTCCGGCCAAATCAGAGGACGAGAGAAGAGAGCGAGGAAGGGAGATAGATAAAGTAGAAAGATAGATAGATAGATTAATAAAGAAATACTACGCATGCGTATCCGCTGGTCAAGTCTAGGCCAAAAGTAGATTCCGCTTATACGCGTGCGCAGTTAAAAAGGGTTCAACTCCAGGTGGAGAAAAGCGCGCGTGCGCATGGGGAGGCCTCGCTTGTTGGGAGGGGTCAGAGAGGGAAGGGTATGCCGCGCAGGCGCAGTATGGCGGCCGAGTATGTGTGTATGTGAGAGTCTGACGGATTCAAAATGGCGGCGGCGGCTGCTTCTATGTGAGGGGAAGAATCTGGGGGCGGCGGGAAGGGAAGGAGGGCGAATGACGGTGGGGTTGAGTGATTGACTTATGGGGCGCCACCAGGCCCCGTGAACCGACGCGAGGGTGCCTAGTGGCCCTTTGTAGTGGGAGGCTGTGGCTGTGTCCCGGGGAGGGGGGGTGATAGAAGTGGAAGCGACAAGGCTGAGGTTTGGGTTCGAGTTCGGGGCCACCCTGAAAACCCCAGGATGGGGCCGATAGTCACGGGGGAAGGGGGCCGGGTTAAGCTCGCTGGAGGCATTTTGAGATGAGCCAAGGCTACTGAGGTGAGAATCGGAGGGATGGGCAGAGAGGCTCGAGAGGCAAGTTGAGAGACTGGGAAGGCTGAAGGTGCGTGTGGGCGAGACTGGTCTTGAATGGGGGATTTCCAGGGATTGTGGGGCCAGATCGATAGGGGAAAGCTTAGCTATCTTATTATCAGTCGGACCTGGGAGAGAGTTTAGTATCGCGCCAGGGACTTTGTGGGAGTTTTTTTTCCCCTTCCTTGCGTCGAGTTACTGCTTCAGAGTTGATCGTTTTGGGAGCTGAGGTGAAGAGAGGTTACAGTTCTCGGGACACCCTCCCCCACTCCAAGCCCGGCCTTATGGAGAGGAGTCGGGGTATAATATGCCCTCCAGGATCCCCCTGGCAACCCCCACTCCCCAGAAGGAAGTTGGGTACTCTTTGTATTTGAAGGCTTCCTGCCCTTTCTGGATACGAAAGTTCTCCAGCTTTTGAAGACGATCGGGAATTAATTGATTTTCTTTCTTTTCTTTTCTTTGTCGTGCCCTAGAAAGGGGCAAAGGAAAATCAGAGACCTGGTAAGATCTAACTTTGGTTTATATTCTGTAGTTTTGTAAAGAATGCTATATTTGATACTTCCCCTTCTCCGTGGTGAAAACCAAGGTGTCTCTGCATTTGTGTCAGTGCAAATTATGCAATATGCTTAAAATCCAGATCATTATTCTCCCTAATTTCTGACTCCTTTTAGCAGTATTAGTCTAAACTATTTTATTGGCTCTGGGACCTTGGGACAACAAGTGAGATTGGTGTTGGGAGCAAGTAGACCTCTCTGAATTTTCCTTACTCCACCCAATTCCTTCTTGCTATTTATACTTCATATCACCAAGGCAGAACTTAACTCTTGTTAGTTTTCAAACTGTGACTAAAATAAGTTAGGCAGTTTGTCTTAACATGTATTTTAATTTAAGCAATTTTTATATGTTACTATTATATACTGTTTCCAAAGACAGTATCTTACTGATAAGATAATGAATCCTCTCTTCATCACTTTTGCCACTTATATGTTATTATTCTTACATAGGCTTTAGTGTCAGGCAGTTGTAATATCAGAATTATCCTGTGGTATAAACTTTTAATTACAGGAGTCCTTTTATAATTATGCAGCAAAATTATGGGTATGGTACATACACTTCACAATAGTGTTGTAAAGAAGCATCCAATTGGCAACACATAATGGTTGAAATCATAAATTGTGACCAGTCTGATATATCTTAAAGTACTAAAAAGAAATTTGTTGCTGCTGTTGTTGTTTTGGCTGTAACTATCTTCTAAATATATTACATAAATATGGATTTAAATCATGGTTAGATAACATGTGGCTCTACAAAATATAACTCCTTAGAGTCCTCACCTTAGTTATGCTTTAGAGAGTAGAAGGGCAACAGGTGGCTCACTTTCGGTTTATAGTACAATATAAGTCAATGGATCACAAGCTTTGCATGGTAGCACCTCCCATCAGAATATTATGTGAATTTGTACAATTTTGTCCTCATGGGTAAAAATAATTACAGTGATGTTAGGGTTGGGCACGAAATAAATGTATCACTTTTACTCATTGCTTTAAACCATTATTGTAGGGGTTCTCATACTTTGCAACTTTACTCATACTTTATTGCAGTTTTCCACTTGCATAGACAAAATTAGGAGCAAAGCCCAGAGCAAGTTTTTACAGTATTCTCCTTTGCCTGAGCAAGCCTGATGAAGTTTTTTTAAAGAGCAAGACACCCCTCTAAGTTGCTTGTGATTCTCTTGGTGATCCTGACTCACAGTTTGAGGACACACTTGATATAATATTAGAATTTGCTTTATTAAATGTTCCTCAAGCTGAAAAAAGATATTCTCCTAGTAGTAAATCATTACAATACATTATAAGTCAAATTGGAATTATTTTACAGGAAGCATAGTAATTATAATAACTATCTTTATAATCATAGTATTTTGAAATGCTTTCTATACATAAATGAAAATATTTTTGAATTAAATTGGGCATATTTGTTCTTAAATTGAATTTTCAACCCATTTAAAAAACAGCTTATTGTATGCCACAGATCAACATACATCTGTGCATTAGCACTGGACAAATTATGGAAGACCTCTCAGAAGCAGCTGATTTAGAATGCAGTAGCACAGGCAGAATGAAATGTCTGTTTCATAACCAGCTGCACTGGTTTTCAGTAAGCTTCTGGATGCAACTCAAAGTGTTGATCACACTTATAAAGTCTTAATGGTATAGAACTTGGTAATCTGAGAACCATCTGTCTTCAGCTATTTCTGCCCCTCTTGTACAAATGAACACAGTTGATATGCTCTCAGTTCCCATTGATCAGTATCACCTGATGGAAAGGAAGCCTTCTCTGTCACAGCACCTGCTATATGAATTCATATGGCCCTTATCCTACCTTTTTTTTAAAAAAATGATTTATTTATTAAATTTATATGCCACCAGATTTCCAGAGATCCCAGGTGGTTTAAACATGGCTATTCTCTCAGGCCTTAGACTATGATAGGTGGTGGATCTGTATGATAGATTGATATGTTTTGTTGCTATGTCCAGACAGTACTGTTCTTTATTGTTTATACCATTTTAGTGTTTTATTCCATCCAGAATCATGATGGAGTTGCAATGTATTTAATAAATACATTGATATGCTTCTCTTATGCAACTGCCAGATCATACTTGGATTGCAAGCACTGTAGTTATCTGAATGAAATCTACTAAAATATTTTCCGATCAATATGGGTGATGGAAACTAAAATTCAAAACATCTGAAGGTGTGACATGTTTTGGAAGACCTAAGGAAAGTATTGAAGGGGAATCTCTGATATACTGTTTCCTTTCTCTTATCTCAAGGAGGAAGAGGAAGAAGATAGTAGTTCTGATATATCCTTCTCACTCTCATCAGAAGAGTCTGAGATGGAGCCTGAAGAAGAACGGATCCGTTATAGCAAACGACTGGTTAGTGTGCGCTCTTTTTATGTTTCATTTACACATATATACTATGATGTTCAATACATCCATTTTCAAATGTGGTGGCTTTATAGTTGCTAGAGATTAGTCAGATCACTTTAGCACAAATTGCACTCTACTTACCAATATAAATGGTTTAGGTATACCTTTTGAAGAATACTGGGAAAGTTGATGTCAGTGTTTGGTAATGTATAAAGAAAAAAATAAAATATAGTAATGCATGATGCTTACTTTTCTCAATTTAAAATACTCTCTTACACTTTTCAGAAATTTAGAAAAGTTGTAATAAAAGGAATGTTAACTTATCTTGGGGGGTGGGGGAATAAGCATGGTTATGTTGGTTCATACTTCAAAGAAAAACTACCAGGAAAGGTCAGGGTTTTAGACTGGGAAGTCAAAAAAGCCTTCCTTAGAAGTTGATCGTATTTGTGTTCAGAATGATTTGACTCCATCTGATGAGTCTTGATGCTATACTTTGAGTGTGCAATGATCTGGAATCAAAGGAGAAAAGGTGATTCGAAGCATGTATCGTGTTCACATAACACTTCATGGTAACTTCTTTAAGAAATTGTGTCTTTTCTTTACAGTCCTAAAGAAAGATACAATTGATTTAAGGAGCTGTTAAAAGGTGCTGTGTCTGTGTCCCTAATCTTCACTTTTGAATTTGATCACTGTTCAGCTGTGCTAGACTACTATGCTTTTGAAACTGAAACTTTCCAACTGATTTGATATGCAAAATTATATTTTCGTGAGTGGAATGTGTTGCAGAGAGCATGCTGTACTTAAATGTATTGGTTCCATTACCTTCTAGGAATAATGTAATGTGATGCTTTAAACTCTAAAAATCATGCACTTTACCTCTGCATTCTACTTTTTGTAGTAATTCAACAGACAACTTATGATTATACTTTCACAAATCCCAAACATGCTTGATTCAGTATCTGTGAAATGTCTTTTCATTGGAGGTTAATCAAAGTTCAGGTCCAGCTTACATTCTTTAAAAACAGAAAGACTGTGAGTGCTAGAGTTACAAAAGGATAGTATAATCTACATTCTAATAGAGCATTTCCAATATATAATTAAGAAGAATTAGATGTTAATTCATCTGAGTTTTTGGGATAAGCGTGCTAGTGTAACACCTTAATAAAAGAACTTACATATGGTAATACCAATATTCAGGAAAGAAATGAAATACCAGATGGAACTGTGATTATTGCTTGTCCTATTAAGTTTATGATATTTTAAGAGGAAAGTGAAAGTATGCACTTGTATACTTCAAATTGAATATGGCTATATTTTCAGATAAGAAGTTAATGAGTAAAGTGATCATAATGGCAGTTATTTATCAAGAAATAGTATTCACTGCATTGTAATTATGCCTATCTGTGAGGCAACTTTTATATGCCTTTTCTTGAATCTACGTTATGACTTCCTAAGGTTTATTCACTACTTTGCAGAAGAGTAGAAGTCTAGATCTATTCACAAGGGCTATAAAAGTTTATTCATAAATAATTTATTTTAGAATGGTCATGTAGAGAACTGTAGACTGTAAGCCATAAGGCTCCCTACAGATTATCTAGAGCAATCCTCTGCCTGGTAAAGGAAAACGTGACAACACATTCCCAGTAAATGGCACTGCACTCTGTTGTGAAGGAAAGTCTACTTCCATTTTTATTATTTGTATTTGTCACTGCATGGTAATTTACAGTTATAAACAAATAATCTGAAAGCAAAGTTGGAGGGCATATTTTAAGATATGTGTTCAATTTGAGCTTTCAACAAAATGAGGTGTATGTACTTAAAAGTTAAGCTGGGCCAAATTTCAGAAAAGTGTAGTTTTGTCGCATGCTAGTAATTTTGAATACTGAACATTAAATAATTGCCATTCTCTTCCTTAAAATGTGGATCAGTTAGTGTTAAGTATGCTGGTCCTGTTTGACTGCTACTAATTGTCAGCATCATCATATTTTTAAATACTAAAGATAGAAGATTAATGTTTAAAACAGCATTAGTTGTGATTGTATTTTCTAATAATCTTTTACTACACGTTTTCTTACTAATTTTAATATATGCACATTCATTGCATGTATACAATACAAGTTAAGATTTTTAGAATTGTTTTTAAGTTAATAACACTAGACTGGTTCACACATAGATTATTATAATGAGTAGGCCAAGCTGAAAACAAATATCTCTTTAAAGAGAGCCTTTGGACTTGTGTGTGAATAAAGTGCATACAAATACATTCTATTATTTGTTTTCAGAATTCATCCTCAAGCATTGTAGAAAGAAGAAAAAAATATAAAGGGGAAGAAAGAATATTTGCTACTGAAAATAATTTGTTTTTAAAAAAGCAATATCAGTTACTACTGAAGAACTGGAATTCCAAAAATAGTTGAAAAGCACTCTTTGGCTGCAGTTCTATGTCCCTGAGACTATATCTCAGAAATGTTAGGATATCTTAGATGTCCCCAAGTGAGGACAGCAAGAAAGCGAGGTCTGTTCTTAGAGATTATCCAATTTTGTTGCCCTTCCCAATTCCCATGCATGCCCATAGCCCTGTAGCTAGTGTAGCTAATTCTCCTCACTGGTTGCAGTTGGAGAGGAATATTGGAGAAGGAATAGTAAAATCTCAGTTCTTCCTTTTTCTGTCACAAGAAGTCTGGCAGAGTTTAGGATAAAGCACCAATTCCATCTTTGACAGTTTTTCCTCCTGTTGATAAACTTGTTCTACCTGGGGCCTTACGACATACTGTTTGTTTTAGATTTTTTTTAATCCTGTATTTTTTTTATCCTGTATTTTTTTTTCATAGCTAGCTTAAGTAAACATACCATACCATCAGAAATATTGGATGCTCCATCACTGGAGGTTTTTAAGAAGAGATTAGGCAGCCATTTGTCTGAAATGGTATTGAGCAGAGGGTTGGACTTAGAAGACCTCTAAGGTCCCTTCCAACTCTGTTATTGTATTGTCTCCTATATCTAATGGGAACAACAAAACTGTTGATGCCCAACCTTAATTTAAAATTCACTAGGTTTCAGACATTTGGAGGAAGTAAGCTTAAGATAGGAGGGATATATTGCATGGAGTGAGTTTAGGGAGCAGATTTTATTTTAATGTGAAAGAAGAGTTGACAAAAATAAATGTCTGCAGATAGAGCCCTTGATTGAAAAGGGTGAATGTAGACCATAGGTATGGAAACTAATTACAAAAAAAACCTTTCTTCATAATGATTTGTTTGCTGTACAATTGGCTGTAGTTTATCTATTTTGTGTGTTTAATCATGAATTTCATTGCGTCATTAGTGTTAACTTTAAAACAAAATAAGATATTACTACAGATGTAATATCTAATATAGTAGTGGACTGAGGTCGGGAGAACTTTATAGAAAATATATAATGACAAGGTAAGCAACTCAACAAATTGTATGTATATGTATGTATGTATGTATGTATGTATGTATGTAATAGAGCCAATTCAAACAGGATCAGAGAATGTAGTAAAATCTCTAATGTTAAATCTGTGCTTAAAATGTATCAAATCATATATAAATTTATGTATGGTAAATTAGTTAGCAAAAAATGGAATTCTCCCTGTGGGAATGACTGAAGTCAAATTTTTATCTTTTGCATCTGATTTCTACTGAATGAAATTTTGTAAAATTAAGGTTTTATTATGCATATACATTTTAACTACTGCAAATGAGCAGACTCATTTTTAATATAATAATTTCTTACCTGCACACTTACACTCCAAGCACATAATTGTGAATGGCTACAAACTCTGAGCCATAAAATTTCTGGTTTATTGCTTATTCAGAAAACATATAAACAAATCATAGATTAGTTCATTATGTGAACACAACCATTATTTAAGTAGTGAGTACAATATAAAGAGCATGGAGAGGAAGAGATCATACGTATTTAAGGGTCTCTAATGTTTGAAATACTTATTTAATTCACATGGCATGGTTTCTCTCAACTGTAGTCACTCACAGAAACTGTAGCCTATTATGAGTTTGACATCACTTTTTTGCTGTTTGCTATAGCTGACTTTTACAACATAGTACTCCTCAGATGTATTAGACTACAACTTATGTCATAGTGACTAAATAATGAGAGTTGTATCCCAAAGAACTGTATTGACAACTAGAGACAGATCGGAAGCATGCAAACTTTTGTATAAGTAGGGAAGGCTTGCTTTTAGTAATTTTATTGAATAATCCTTTGCAACAGAGGGGAACAATATTTTGTAACAAAAATACTGCATTATATTTCTTTTTGATTATTGTGATCTACTGGAGGGCGGAATAAATTGATAATTATGTTATAGCTGAAAATATTTCATCTGTTTTTCTGGGGGAGGGAAAATTTGTGTGCTAAATTCATTTCTTAAGACTTTTCTTAATTTGCATGTTTTCAAAGAAAAACAAAAATGAAAAAGCAGGTTGTTGAACTTTGATGGTGCAATTAGTGATTAAAGAATGGTTATTAAGGTGTTATGAAGCCTACAGGCTTCACACTGCTCACTCATTGGAATCACTACAAAGTTTTAGAGAATACTGTCTGAAAGACAACATTTTGTTGATTCAACAGAAATACACAAGTTTCCAAAAACTGGTGGCATAAAACTAGTTTTTAAAGGCAAAATTGATTTTAAAAAAATGAGTAGCTATACTCAAGCAGTTTTCAATAGAAAATAGTCTTGTCTCTTATTCAGTTATAATTAAAGTACTGTTTTAGTATATGGGGCCTGTGTTTTCATATGCTTCACCTGAAAAAAGGAAAAATAAGTACTTAACTTTAAAGCTGACCAGTTTAACTGGGGTTTTTTTTGTTAACTGTTTTGCTAAATCTTCGCTAAACATGTCATGCTAAGCTATTTGTATAACTAATCAGTGTATATGGCTAGAGCAGCTCAGTGGCCTAGAGGTGAAGATGTTTGCCTCCCACTTGAAGGTTGAGAATTAAATCCTGGGCAGCCCGAC